TAGAACTACGTTTTACTAGCGGACCCAAAGTGTTACTGACGGGAATCTACAGCGTCTTGAGCTGAATTAAGACTTCAGAAGTCATTCGTCATGTCGAATGACCAGCGGATAAACTCTCAGGTTGGTAATAAATGTATTACATGTATAAGAACAAGCGTCATGTTAACAAAAGATAGCCGTACGGTAACTTTTATGCTTATTGTAGCTGCTAGCTAAAAACGCTAATTTAGCATAGTTTGCCCTGAATTCAGCTTTGACAACAAATATGATCGACTGTTTCTAGTAGAATTCCAAAGTTGTCATCTTGGACCCTCTCAGAGTACCCCCTCTGTATGCTTGCAGAGACCCCTACAGTAGGGAAACATGCAAAACGGTGTCCAAACCTTTGTATTTTAGCTTTATTTATGTCTTACACAGCATCCCAACTCTTTAGCTAACTTAATAACTTTAGCTAAAGTGAATAGTTAGTCTAATTCATTAGTGCAGCATTACTGGATCACCTCTGTTTGAAGTGATATAATGTGATATACAACTATCACTGAAACAGCAAACTTTGTAAATAAGCAAACAACACTTCTCATTCTCTAAACGTTTGGCCACAGCTGTAGATTACACTATCAGTGCTTGTTCACTCTTAACAATAATTACATTTCTAAATTTACTTTGTGCATTTACAGGTAAACAATATCTAATATTTTATCTAAATGACTTCTTTGTCTTTGAAAAGGGTGAAGAGCCTGAGGCCGGTGACAGTCCAGTTCTACTCTAAGTACATCCTTACAGTGGCTCACAGGACAAGGCCACATTCCTGTCCTGCCAGAAGAGAAGAGAAGCTTCAGAGTCTTCATGCAGTTCAACCACACCTGTCATATTCCATATGACAGGGGTCTCAAACTCCAGTCCTCAAGGGCCAGTGTCATGCAACTTTTCCATGCCCTCGAGGACTGGAGTTTGAGACCCCTGCCGTATGGTGTTTATGCTGTTTTCTACCCCACCGTTACAGCATGTCTGACTGCCTGTTCAGCATATGCAAAAATATGAGTTTAAGCATGTGATGACTAAGGCCTTCCATTATGGTGTTTGTCATCACATGTCACAGACATCTGGATGATCATTTGGAATAAACAAAAAACTAAAAACTTGTTACTTCATCTTATCTTTATTATTGTTCTTATTTTACATTGTTAGGCATTAGGTTTATTTGTAGTAGTCCTTTCCAACTTCTTTCCCTCTTCCATGTTACTGTGGCAGCTTGTCAGCATCTATTTGGGGTTGGGAGTGGAATAGAAAGTAAGGAAATCCAAAGTGCCATTAAAACCAGGAGAGGTTCTTATATTTCAGAAGAAGGGATTAATTCAAAAGACCTCAATGCCATATTTTATTTAGGAACCCTAGAGAGCACTTTGCAAAATAACACATTCTTATAATTTCACCCTCAGATGAGCCAAGCTACGACTGTCAGGGAAGGTGATGTAGGTACAGAGCATATGAGAGTGGTTAAGTTTGTCTCTTGTCTAGATGAAGGCACAAGAGGGATGGATGGCAAGGCGTAGAGATTCAGTATCTTCAGTCTTCAGTGGACACTCCATTTCTGGCACAAAACACCTGTAAAAGATGGTCGATTTAGGAGGTGACCCGACAACTTCAGCCTGTCAAACATAGTAATGGAGCAGTATGTTTAAAAAAAAAATAAAAAAAAAATCTAATTAAGTAGAATTATTATGGTAGTTAAACACAGTGATAGTTGTATATCATATTATATCACTTCAAACAGAGGTGATCCAGTAATGCTGCACTAATGAATTAGACTAACTATTCACTTTAGCTAAAGTTATTAAGTTAGCTAAAGAGTTGGGATGCTGTGTAAGACATAAATAAAGCTAAAATACAAAGGTTTGGACACCGTTTTGCATGTTTCCCTACTGTAGGGGTCTCTGCAAGCATACAGAGGGGGTACTCTGAGAGGGTCCAAGATGACAACTTTGGAATTCTACTAGAAACAGTCGATCATATTTGTTGTCAAAGCTGAATTCAGGGCAAACTATGCTAAATTAGCGTTTTTAGCTAGCAGCTACAATAAGCATAAAAGTTACCGTACGGCTATCATTTGTTAACATGACGCTTGTTCTTATACATGTAATACATTTATCACCAACCTGAGAGTTTATCCGCTGGTCATTCGACATGACGAATGACTTCTGAAGTCTTAATTCAGCTCAAGACGCTGTAGATTCCCGTCAGTAACACTTTGGGTCCGCTAGTAAAACGTAGTTCTATTAATCTGCGCTTGAACCGGAACCGGATGTAAGTTCCAAAAAACTGAATTTTGGAACTGAAATTGAATTGTAGAACTGAAACTGAATGGTGAGAAGTGAAACTGAAATTATCAGAGATGCTGAATTTTTAAAGGATAAAATGCCGTTTCAAAGCAAATCAATTCATTTTCAAAATATAAAATTCAATTTCAATTTAGTGATGATCATTTTCAAACCATAAATTCAATTTCAAATTAGACTAATTCAAATTCAATTTTCAAAAGCATTTATTCAAGTTACAATTCAGATTCAATCTGAGCAATTCAAATTCAAATTTAACTTATTCAAATTCAGTTTCTGATGGCACAGATTTCTGCCCATACTTTTCATGCCCCTACTTTTACCAAGGAATTTGATGAGTCGCACTCAGCAGACTGACGTTTGAGCCTCATTAAATGCTAATTATGCAAAAGCTCTTTCTTTTGAGCATGCAGCTATAAGATAAGGGTGGGGAAATGCCAACGAGAAGTTGACAGATCATCCAAAGATAAAGACCCATTAAATACTAATTCTTCCTGCTTTACAGTGCAGAACTTTGTGTGTGTGCGTCTTTGCACATCTGCATGTATCAGTGTAAAGTAGTCAAAAAAACTGCCTTCAACTGCCAGCTTGCTGATTAAAGCATGATGTGCTTGTTTGGTTATTTCCTGATTTTTTTTTTTCCTCCTCTCTTTGAAAAGCTGCCATGGCCAACTGTGGCTGGACTCTGTTCAGATCTGATTCAACAAAAGATGCTGGAGCTTTGTTTCCTCTGCCTTGTTATTGTGTACATGTTCCTCCAGCTGTGTCATTTATTGCATGCATGTGCTTGCAGATTAATTCTTAAATTATTTTGCCAAAAAATCATTTGCTCATCCTGGTTGTCCGAGAGCATTTGGCTGAAACAAAGGAAACTGTGCTCAATGAACTTTTCTCGCATAGGTTTGGAGGACTTGTAAGAGGCACACATGAAGTGTGTGGTCTGCTGGTGAGAAACTTCTGCTACTTCTAAACTCAGATCTGAATTTAAAGATAGCAAAAGCAAGCTCTCCATCTGTCTTATTGTGAGAATTCATAACTAGGAAATCCTGCTGTGATTTACAATACCGAACATGCAGGTCTTTGCTGCTTTACTGGGATATCCCTGAGTCTGCATATACAATCAAAAATAAAAGGGTGGGGGGACACAGGTTCTTCCTCTCCAAATTGAATTGGTTTGCTTCTTTGTTCCTCTTCCAACGGGAGTTTCTGCTCTGGATTTGGAACTGGCATTGCACATTCTTATGAGGTACAGGCTACAGTAACAGTGTGACCGTGACCTTCTCTTTGTTCTCCCACATATGTGTTTTCATAACCATAGATGCTGAGAGGATTTCAAAGCTTTGTGCTGACCATCAGTAGACCCTGCCCCACCGCTGTTAGAGGTTTTTTCTCTGTGGTTTTCTGCATCTTAGCATCTACAGTCATGTTCCAGGAGGATTAATTACAGTGGATTACACCATCCTTGGAATATTCCACCGTTTAACTGCTGTTTGACTCATACTGATTCTCCTGTCTTTTTCTGGACCCTACTGAGTAGTTACCCTTCGGGCCATGATACTAAGTTTAGCCCCAATGTAAACCTTCATGCACTATTGGTAGATCTAGGGCAGGAAAGGGTGTATTCTTCCTGTTTTTAAGCTCCCTGGACACTGTCTGGTCTCATTGGTCCCATACCTCCTCTACCCACATCAATCCCAAATACGTCTGTGATGCTTGTCAGGTCAAGTGGCTCAGGAATGAGGTAATGGCTAAACCCTTAGGCACATTATCTAGCCCCCCCCCCCAAATCTTGCCTAAGGCTTGATTGTCTCAATTTACATAGCACCCCCTTACTGCTTTTATTCTTTTATTTCTGTTTGGAACTCACCTATAACCTCACTATTCTTTCCGTGTCTACTGGTTGTGCCTCTTCACGGGTGACTTGCCTTTCTGTAGTTGTACAGTGTAGCTCCAAGGACACTGATGTTTAGTATCACAGCTGTAGAAACAAGAGAGTGACTCTACTTAGCCTGTCTGCTTTTTTGTTTTCCTTGTGAATCTGGCCCACAGGGGAGCGTGTGTGACCATGCAATTGTTTCCCCTTGTATGTGTCTTACTGTAAACAAAGGGAGTGAATGTGCCTGTCAACATTGCTGCAGCTTGCAGTGGTTGTAGGGGATTATGTAAAACAGTGCTGCAACCTGTTAGGATGTTTAAAAAAACGTGCGCCGGATCATGCTTAAAGCTGTTCAGGTGGGAGGTCTGGAATGCAGTTTTTAATTGAAGTCAGGCTGGAGATGTTTTCACACATGAACTCCCAAAAATGTTGGAAAAAATTAGGTTGGGACAGTGTCCGAAAGTTTTCCTTTCTCACATGTAGCTCACAGCAGGAGATGGCTGGCATTTAGCTGTGTTGGAAATATTCTCTTTACTTTAGGTTTGACACCTTAACCTAAAGCAAAGTACCCATGCTGTTCTCATATCGGTGCAACTTCAAATAACAGAAACATTGTATCTGTGTGGTACATTTGCACTCTCACATGCACCTCTGATTGATTAAAAAAGGGTGTAGCATATGTGTGAAATGACTTTTGAGCTACAAACCGTGGTTTGATTAAAAAAATGTACATTTAAAAATGCTTGGTTATCTGTTAGTCACCCACCCTGTCTGTCTTTTCTTTGCAGTGCAAGTGTGCTGGTTGGAGCCCCCAAGGCTAGAACAAAGCAGTTCAACGTTACAGAGGGAGGGTCTGTATTCTACTGTCCATGGAGCTCCAGCCAAACCGACTGCCACGCCATCAAATTTGACCTTGAAGGTAAGTCTTATGACTGATATTTACACTCTGGGCTTCATTAGCGCCAAAGAAGTTTTATGCTCTTTTCTAGCTTTGCAATTCAAAAGAAATCCTTCTCCACGGGGCCTTGATGCTGCAAATCAGTTCATCCACTCTCTGAAACTGTCACGGTCTGGCTGGCAGACCGTGGGGATGTGAGAAATGAGGACCCAAAATGCAGGACTTGGCGCTGAAGGCAGTGCGTTTATTTACAGTGGTGACAATCCAAACAACAATAAACTCCCCGTGCGATCCCAACTCCCGTTCCGTGTCTTCTCCTTTATCCCGTGCTCCGTGCTCTGTCTCCGTTCCCTGTGTACTGTCCGTGTGCTGCCTCCTGGTCGCCACAATTCCTCCTGAGGAAACACGCATACAAAAGGCAGTCGTGAGTACAAAACCTAACGGCAGACTTGCACTAACCTTGCACGATAAACTAAGACTGACGGGAAGTCACTCAACGATCCAGCGTCGAGGAGCTCTCAGCCACACTGTTTTGAAGCTCCTCTGACGAGGCTTGATCGGCGCCAGGTGTGTGTGGATTCCTGGGTGGGACCGGTCAGCTGGCAGGGCCACACCCACCAGGCCTAGAAGTGCCTGCCACGACCGCACCCTCACACACCCATAAACACCTGACAGTACACCAACACGGAAAACAGGACAGCAGACACAACCATAATAACAATAACCACAATAATAATGATAATAACTACAATAGTAGTCCAGACTGCTCACGGACCCCGAATCCCTGGAACTGGGTCCGTGACAGAAACAAACAATTTTTTTCTGCCTTCTCCCTCCCTTTATGTCAAATTTCTTCTGTTCAACCATGAGGTTTGATCAGAAGATGTGCTGTGTTTTCAGGCTCAAAGCTGGAGCTGTTTCTCACTGACATAATGCAGAGTTAGAAATGAAAGAAAAAAAGGAGCTTTTTACTTCATAGAAGGTTATTTGCACAATCCTGCCTGTTATCTGTGCAATGCAACTACACTCTCTTTTTCCTTTAACCTGTTTGTTGGGACATATTGTTTGCTCTTAAACTATTCAGTATTGTTGTTTCTCTGCCCATTTATTTGGAGGCAATCGGAGCATTTTCTTTCTGGAAAAGGAATCATTGTTTTACTCCATTGAGTGGTTGTTGGCTACATTAGTTCCTGGACTTTGGGTGTTCCTTTTTTCCTGTTTGTCTTCTCTTCAGGGATAAAAAGATAATGAGGTGTCAAAGAGTTCTTGAAGGGTACTACTTCCTTCCTCCAGATCATGTTCGTGTTGCCTGGCCTCGGGAGGTATACGGAGATAAGCAACCAATAAACAAATAGGTCGGACAAAGAAATATCCTGTTTGTATGACAGGTGAGGTAGACACTACTAGTCTTAACAAAGAGGCTCCAGTTGAGTCAAAATCAAGTAAAGTGGTTTAGAAGAACACGAGGAAGCGTGTGAGGTTGTCTTAAGAGTGGATTCATGTTTCAGTATGTTGACAGAGTGCCCACAAGCCCTGTTTTGCACAATGGATCCACGGCGAAGTGAAGAATGAGCAGGTCAAATTATAAATGATGTAGCAAAGACATACTCCTATACAAACACACAAACAGTATGACTCATACATGTAGGAGGATCCCATCACTTCTGGCTTCTTTCCTGGGAAATCCAACTTAAATTTATTCTCCCTAATTGACAAAGTGGAGAAATATTCCACTGCATGTTTCACAAGCCCCTTTCCCCCCTATTGGACGCCACTGCTTGGTACCCTTTGCTCCACTATTTTAGCACTGCTTTTCTTGCAACATAAAATGTGTCGTGCAGCCATGGATGCTGGCTAAAGGCCACGCGGAGTGATATCATGCACATTCAATGAGCCCTCACGGTCAAGGTTAGTCTCCTGGGCTGCCAGAGTCCTTCATATTTTGAAAATGCTTTGAAAGAGCAGATTAGAGTGCCAGTGCCAGCTCTCACATCTGGATCAGAGTAAAACTGCAGTGCTGTGGAGGAACGCTTAGTCCATGAACATCTGCATGCAAATATGGCTATGACAAGCAGCTGTTACATGAATGACATTTACTGCTGCAATTCATTTACTGCAGCTTTGCCTGTATTTTCTTTGCCAATCATGATAGTAAAGACTAGTGCAATAAAAAAAGACATTTAGTGATTTTTTTTTTTCTTTTCCCCCAATTTATTCAGTATGAATAATAAAGAAAATGGCTCTAGAGTGTCTTGTATATTCTTGAAACAAAGTGGTGTCAGAGGTCGCCTGTTTCTTGGTGTTTTTGAGCTCTGACCCAGAGGCCACAGAACCTCTTAATTAGCCTAACTAATTGGGTCAAAGTGGCCAGAGACTCCCTCCTATCCACATCCTCTGCCACTGAGATAAGAGCCTGTCTATTTGAGAGGACACATACAGGATGGGAGGCAGGGAACGAGAGAAAAGAGGAAAGGCCAAGAAACCAGAGACCAGCTCTCTTCTGTCCTCCTCTCGTCTCCTGCTGTCAGTACTCCCACAGGGGCAGCTGATGTGATGAGTGAATTTGGCCATTTGTCTTCTACCTCACTGACACACAGCAAAACACTTACACACTTAAAACGAGAGGGTCTGACCACACTAATGGCTCTCCACTCACCCACAGTTCAAAGTAGACAGTGAGTCTGTATGCACTCCAGACCTTCACTGCCCCTCTGCTCCCTGGAGAGACTGGCACCACATCACATCAGCACACCGTGCTATCAAGCCTCCCAGGGGGACTTTGGTCGGATCACATCTTGTTGTGGGTCCTTCTCTGGATTTCCCTTTATCTCCCCTGTGAATCTCCTCTATTTTCATCTTAAAGAATTCCACATGATTACAGCTGGCTGCCTTCCGTCGCCTCACAGACAACAAAAAGAGCTTTTCATCATTCATTATAGTGACACAGAGCCATGGCTACCACATAAAGACTTTGCTAACCTTGTTTGGGTCCTTACTATGAGGTGCTTCCTTTCTGTCACCCTGCAAGATAACCTGAGCATAGTTAGACAGTATGAATTACAAGACCACCTTTTTGAATGCTACTCTTGGTTATCTTGGGAAGTTAACGCAAACCAACACAGATGTTGGTCAGTCTTAAACTTCACCTGGCCGATTAGCATTTGCCTTGACCAAACAAACCCTTCTGTTATGAAAATGTTAAAAAAAAAAACATACCATGCAGCTAAGGCAGATTAGTTAAAGCAACAAGGAGCTGTTTGAAGTACTGGTTGGGGTTTTGCCCATGCAGCAAAAGCACTTCTTATCACTCTTTTGAACACTTGAATCATAGCAGCCTGCTGCTCGCCCATGATGAATACTGTTAGCACGAAAGCCCCAGAGATGGAGATTAAACAGAAATATATTTGGGTTATTATAAAACTATATTCTCTCTGCTTACTGCTTGGGTGATGGGAGGCATCACTCCCTGGAAACAGATGGGAGAAGGGGCTGTGCAGTTGAGGAGCCTTGTGGTGAGATAGTGAAAGAAAAATGAATAGGAAAATAGTGATAATGTTGAAACTGACAACAGAGAAGGGGAGAGTGAAGTGGGTGCCTAAATAGAGATGAGTGAGGAGCTGCTGTGAGGAAGTGAGGCCAGAGTGTGTTTTCCTTGGACCCCAGCCCCTTTGCTGTTTCCACAAAGACATGGTGCAGGCCTTCATCCTCAGCTCCAGGCTGCCTAGTTGGCTTGAAAGAAAGACTAGAGGAAGACAGGCATGGACAGAGTGAATATAATACACAATTCCTTCCTCACATCCACATGGGTCTTGATCTTTCCCGGTATCTCCCAGTTCTGTCTGACAGACACTAGCTCTGTTCTTTAGAAAGACACCTGTGGTTGCAGAAGTCTGAGTGAATGGGGATTATGAGTGAAGGACTCGTGGAATGGCTGATCTTATACGCACTTCCCCTTACAGATGTCAGCTCCTACACTCATATGAGCGGTATGTGTCTTCCTTGCATAATCAATTAGTTCAGATTTCGTTCTTTATTGCAGCACAGATGTAGCATCTGTTTTCCAATAAAGTTGTGTTTAAACTGGACTCCCCAGACCATCTGTCGCATCACCTGCTGCTGTCAGAGCACTAAAGTGGGAGATCAGTGATACTGTCCAGGTGGTCAAACAGGGCAAAGGGTCAGCAGGGTTAAGCCACACCAGTCCAGTCCAAACCTGGCAAAAGCTAACACAACTACTATCTGTAGAACAGTGGCCTAGTAGGAAATAACATTCTTTTCAAGTCTAACCATCTCTGTATGAAGAAAGTGTAACATAATGCATGTTGTCTGCCAGTTTTTACAGATGTTTCCAAGAATCTGGAAGGGAGGGGCAGGCAGCGTTATGATGCTTGAGGTCCAGCTGAAGGAATGCATGCGTTATCATGCTGCTATAACTCAAATTCTTTTCTCTCTCTCTTCCTTTATTTCCCCAGGGGATCGCAATGTCTTGCTCAATGACACAAATTACCAAGCTGATTTCAAATCCCACCAATGGTTTGGTGCCACTGTCCGGTCTCATGGTGACACAATTCTGGTAAGGTAGCCTTCAAAGAGATGCATTTAAAATGATAGAATCTTCCTTAAGGGATGAAAACCTCAGCTGTTGCTTTCTGCTGTTAAGATCAGGAATTTCAGACTAGCCTGATATACGACTGTGAGAAACTTTTTACTTGAGTGATGACTCACTCTCTTGGCTGGGTGATTGCACATATCCTGTGTTAGTTAGAAGTTAGGAGAAGTGGCTAGATTATTGCCCATTAAGTTGTTGTCATTCAGGTCCACTTTTCACCCCTAGTCTCAACTCACTGTTCTCACAGCCACACACATACACCATGTGACAGCAAAGTTTAGCTGCCTGTTGTTTGGTCTGATTGTACGGCTTGTGACCTGGGTTGAGTTACATGGTTACCCCCACACAAGACACTCCACTGACCTCAGCTTGAGACCCATTCTGAGTTCAACGGGGGGGGGGTTCACAACTGGAAAAACATCTCCCACCTAATGGCTCACCCTGTTCATCAACACACTGTTAATCCTCCACTTTTCTTACTTGTCATTCCCACTCCTGTGAACTGCAGGCTTGTGCCCCACTTTACTCATGGAGAACTAAGGAGGATATTCCCCATTCTGATGCTACAGGAAGCTGCTACCTCTCTGTCGAAAACTTCACCAACTTTGTGGAGTATGCTCCTTGTCGTACAGGTAATCATCACCTCTCTTCAAATCTTATCGGCATGGATGCTTTAATATATCAGGATAACACCAATGGTTGTTTCCTGGATGGTTTCTGGATATCATTTGTTGATGCTTCACTTATTCTGACAGTAAGTCCTTCATGATACACCGCTCCTTTTGTCCTTCAGAAATCAGTGGTCCATCAGGACAAGGTTACTGCCAGGGAGGATTCAGTGCCGAATTTACAAAGGTAAATGTACATTTTCTGTCAGTGAACCAACACGGGTTTCTTGAATAGTTGTATTTTTTCCCACTGAGGTAATTCACAGGTGTTATTTTTCTTTTAGGATGGCAAAGTGGTGCTGGGAGGACCAGGCAGTTATTTCTGGCAAGGTATGTAGGACCTGCATCAATCAAAAGTCAAAAACAAAAAACACACACGCACACACAGAAATCTCAGTATGTCCTTCCAAGTTTCTTTCTTATCATTATCTTATCGTATTTTAGGTCAAGTGATCTCTGCAGCTAAGGAGGACATTATCAGAGCATACTATCCAGGCTATTTTATTCAGGCGGTGAGTGGCCAGATCCAGACCAAACAGGCCCATTCTTTGAAAGATGACAGCTATCAAGGTAAGCTAATTAAAACTTTATAAATTTTGCTAAATCACATGTCGTCATGTACCTGCCACGAAAGCTAATTTTTCTGTTTCCTACAGGCTACTCTGTTGCAGCTGGGGAATTTAGTGGTGATGGGGTAGAAGGTAAGTCAACAAATCAGGTAGCAGACACTGCCAGCATTAGGTGAGGTTGACAAATAGTGAAACACTTAAAGACATTTACAGAGCAACATGAATGTTATAGTTGTAGTAAGATAAACATAAATCATTTACAATATTTTACATAATTATTGAGCTGGAAATGTCTTTAGTAAATTCTGTTATCCTCTGACTGGGCTTTAACCGTATTTTCCCCACTTTAAATCTTTGCTTTGTCTCACAGATTTTGTTGCTGGGGTTCCAAAAGGACACATGCTTTATGGTTCGGTAAGATCGCTTAATCATCACTCTCATTTTGGCTTTCATTTAAGCGCTTTTAGAATGGGAAGCCTGGGATTTATACTTGGGAATGATACAAGAAAGAAAACAACTTTAGCGATATTGTCACAGTGGGGATTATTTTTGCAGTGAATTCCTTTCCATGGATCGTGCTTATATTAGACCCTATAAAAGTTCCCCATATGTGCTTGCTGTGTTGCAGGTGTCTATTCTGAACGGTACAGATCTGACAAACATGACTGAGTACACTGGAGAGCAGGTGAGTCCAAAAACTCCCACCTGAGCCAACTACAGAAAGTTCTGTAATGCTCCACTTCCTCTGTGTTTTTATTGCTCAGCTCCCCATGAGAGCTCTTAATTTGCTGATTCATAGTAAGCATAAATAATTTCCTCTACTGCAAACCACAATAGAGACAAAAATCTAGCAAACACAATACTGCAAATCTCAGTTCTTGGGGGGGAAAGTGCAGTCGCAATTTGTGCAAATGGTTCTAGGAATAGAAAAGCAATCAACTTATTTCAACACTGGTGATTGACTCAGCTGAACAAATATAATCACAAGCGAATTTGCATACACTACGGCGAGACTGCTTTTGCAGTGCTTTGTAGACTGAAAATCGTGACAGAAACTGAACGAGAAATGGAACCGACAGGCCTTCACTGGACCCAACCTGTAAAACCCATCAAGCCTTTGTGATTTCTTGAGTCTTTATGATTTTTTTTTGTTCTAGTAACAGAGAAAACACGCCTGAAGTTTAGTTTAACAGTGTGAGGGTTTGGGATTTTGGACTGCTTAAATTGTAATCATGTCTTCTGTTGATGTGATGTTTAAAGTCATGGAAACACCTTTTCTTTTTTTTTTAATAGATGGGCTCATATTTTGGGTATGCAGTGGCCACAACTGACATTAACAGTGATGGGTGAGTAGTAGCTGTCTGTCTTGCTTTATTTTATTTTTCAGTGCATCTTTTTTTTTCTTTTTTGTGATGTTCCTGTTTTGTCTGCAGGATGGTTGACCTGCTGGTGGGAGCTCCCATGCTCATGGTCCGAAGCTCTCATGGACGCCTGGAAGAGATGGGCCAAGTCTACGTTTATCTCCAGCGTAGCCCCTTGAAACTAGAGTCCCGCCTACCTCTAACAGGCACTCAGGTGTTTGGGAGATTTGGCAGCACCATTGCACCCTTGGGAGATCTGAACTTGGATGGTTTCAATGGTAAGAATAGGGAATTATAATATGGTAGGACAGAAATTGGTAATGTGGGGAAATGATATATAAGGCGACAATTTAAAAGAAAGAAATTTAGTAACAATCTATTATGATGCTACTTTTTTCTCATTACACTTTGAGAATGCTTGTATGCTTTGTTATAATATCGAAGATTACGCTATAACACAATGACACTCTGTAGAAATGTGCTTGCTTGAACCACTTATGGTCTCTAAAGAATGAAGCCGAATAGCTTTGGTGACTTCAACAATATTTATAGCCTACAATACATTTCACTTTATGAATGAACCAAACTAGAAGACTAATAATGCTAAACCTAAAGACTGTTATGGATGGTAACTAAGTGTTTAGCTTAAAAGATAAAACAGTTATTGGTTATGAACTTTAAGTGTTGCTGCTTATGTCACAATGTAAGGCATATAGTCAATAAATGATATAGTATATACAATAATGAGTATGTTAAGTGATCTTGGTATAAGAGGATGAACATGAGAGCTTATCAGCTAGGATTCAGTTTTAGCTTTAATCACAGAAATGGACCGGAAGTTTCATTCCTACATAACTGGGGATTATGTAGATCACACAGAGCATCATCACATAGGTTGACTTCTAAATACCCCTGTGTCCTTATGTCAAAGAAAAAAAGTTTTGCTTCTTTGTGCAATTTCAAAACATTAGCAACACTTTGTAGAGCAAGGAAACCTACATACTGTAGGCTATTTAAGTAAATCATGCATATTAATTTTGTAGTGAAAAACAGCTGAAACTGTAAATAAAGTGCTCTGGGATTTTAGTTTCTTTCTCTAAATCTCAACGGTAATATAAGTTAATTTTTCCCCCTGCAAGATGTGGCTATCAGCTGTCCATTTGGAGGAGAAGATCAGCAGGGACTGGTTTATATTTACAATGGATACTCAGAAGGACTCAGACAAAAGCCATCTCAGGTGATTAGGGGGCAGTGGGCTGTAGGGACTATTCCTGCTAGCTTTGGATTTGCTCTCAGAGGTGCTAAGGACCTGGACATGAACGGATACCCAGGTAAGTGAGGATGAAATTTGTAATGAGCATCATTAACGGTTTATTTATTTATTTTTTGTGTGTGTTTAATTTATCTTTCTTAATTTCCTCAGATCTCATTGTTGGAGCTTTTGGTATTAATAAGGCTATTCTATATAGGTATGTTTTATTTTTATGTATGTTTTTGCTTGATCGAAAAGTCAAATTCCAAAATTAAGTCTGGGGGAAAAAGCATGGCTGTGTTCGTCTGCCTGGTGTGCCAAGATAAATGTTTGGTCACTCTGCAGATATAGTGTAAGAACAAAACAAAAGGAAAGACATAGAAATAGAGTTTCCAAAATCTGAAGCTAATCTATGAAGCACTTAAAGTGGAAACTGTAATATCTGATGACTGTGTCTTCAATCAGCATTCTTGTTGTTGCCTACAGATCCCGGCCGATAGTCAACACCAGTGCCTCGCTGACAGTTTCCCCCACCATGATTAATCCTGAGGAGAAGAACTGCATTCTCACCACTGGAAACTCCAGCATTCCCGTTTCCTGGTGAGTATTCAGACGGTCCAGAATTACAGAACACTCTGTTTCCTGCAGCTCTTCACTTTTGGTATTTATTTGACCCAACTGCAGAGACATGGGCTTCCCCATTTCCCCCATGCATAAACATTTCTATCATAATAGGAAGTTTTGATAAAGAATATCCTTTACACAGTGATGGTATTCTGAGGACTGCTCTTATCTGACCTATTTTCAGAGTGTCTTCATATAACACACTTTATTTTGTGGAGTGGAGAGAGAAAAAAAGTTGAATAGAAGCATTGTTTGCAGTTTTCAGCCTGATCTAACTGTGCAAAGTATCCAGCTCCAAAAAAAAAGAAAAACCCTAGAGGAAGGAGACCACGGTAGCTTGCTGCTCGACACGGTTGACACTGTGCTCCTGTTTCAGCTTCCCCCCCTTCTCTACATGCTGATCCATAAAGGAAACTGTTGTATACACATATGTCTTGATTGTGCTACGTTGCCTGGTGATGGGGAGATTTTGGTGATCGGGGGGAGGAGAGCAGAGGAAATAATGGGAGGGGAGGGGCTGGAAGGTTTTTGCAGTTGCTTTGAATGAGATATTGTTTGGTGGTGGAACACAGCTGGGAAACATCAGGACACGTAGACTCCCGTGAGCGTGCGCACACAGTTGTGCCGAAAAGGGCAGACACAGGAGCATTCATATGAAGTTACTGCTACTCTTCAAAAGGAGGCTTTGCACTTTCTCTGTCTTTTGCTCTCATTTTTCACCTCTCTTCCTGTTACTTTGCTTTTTTTCGGTAAAGCCCATCCATCTTTCTTTTCTCTTTTGCATTATTTTTTTTTCTGTGACTCTTTCAAGGGGTTACTAGTGATAGGGGTTGGGGGTTTTGGGGTTGCAGACTTGGACAGCGGCGGCATGTTGTGTGGCTGATGTCATGGGAGAGAGCTACAGGCTTATATAGACAGCCACTCACTGGTCAGCACTGAAACCTGAGTCGTTGCTCAATTTCACCCTTCTTAACTCTGCTATTTCTTTGTGTGTGGGGAGGGCTGCGGGTGGAAAGCGGAGACACACTGATTTATCAGCCTGGCCCGCAAAAGTAGTTTTATGCCAGCCTATCTCCAAACATGTGTGGTTTTTGTCATAATATTCACTGAAAGCTCAGTGTGCTCCACGCCTTGTAATGTGAACCATGTAATGAGCTGACACACACAAAAAAAGTCACCCATGAGAAAAGGCGAGAGAACAAGGGAGGGAATCTGAGGTGTCTTATGTGTACAGTATTTACACAGAGTCTCTGCCATTAATGGATATGCTTCTCTCATCATGTCCTTGTCCTTTCTTCCCAAAACAGTGTCAACCTGAGTTTCTGCATATCTGCTGATGGGAAACACCTTCCAAAGAACTTAGGTGAGCCAATTTTCCACATCTGCATTTTATTACAAACTGTCAAATAGCCACCAGTGGTAATGTTTTAAATCCATAACAGTCTGTAGGTTAAAGTGTTTTGGCAGCTAATGCAGATTTTCAGACTTTGTTATGACAAAAAGGGAGTGCAGCATGCCAAATGTCCTTTGTGATCCACCTTGAGTGATCTAACCTCTTCTGTCCTCAGCATTTTTCCTCGTTACCTCTTAGTTATCATCTCTTATTAGTCCCCCTCAGTACACAACAGCTCTATGTGCCATTGACTATGTTGTGTGTATTTCAGAGTATTTACGGAGGTCCTTTTCAGACCTGTCACTTTGTGACTCTAGAACATTCATCACACCATGAATGGTCATTTGTGTGTGTTATGCGTTCCAGATTTCCAGGTGGAGGTGCAGCTTGATAGTCATAAGCACAAGCAGAAAGGTGCAGTGAAGAGGGCTCTGTTCTTGGATTCCCAGCAGCCTTTGCTCCCGATGACTGTGAGGCTGAACCACGGACAGCAAGTGTGCCAGCATAAAAGAATCTACCTAAGAGTAAGTCCTCTCTTTCTCTAACAAAAAATGACATTTAAGCCTGTGCAATGCTTAGATGCAGTTTTTCAATAATGATTCTAAGTGAAGTGTAACTAATAGCTGTAGTCATTTTATAGTTGTGTTTCTGTGTCACTTTTGAACAGCCAAATTGCACGGTGGTATGACACAAAATGTGTTTTTCTCACTGTAGGATGAGAAGGAGTTCAGAGATAAACTCTCCTCTATTTATGTGGCCTTGAACTTCAGCTTGGACCCAAAAGCTGCAGCTGACTCCCACGGCCTGCGGCCCATCCTCAACTATCAGACCACACACGTAATTGAGCAAAAGGTAATTTGACGTGAACTACACTTCTATCAGCTAGGTTAATTAACCCGGGTATCTACAGAGCTGTTTAAATTATTATATAGTAAGTTCACTAATAATCTGCATGTGCGACTGAGATTCCTTCAACTCATTCTCTCTGATCTCTCGATTGCACTTTCCGCCATCATTCAGTAATCACTGGCCAACTCCTTACTGACTCTTCCGTTCATGATGAAAGTGTGAATCTTTTCTTTGTCGGCTGGGAAGAGATCCAGGGTGTCTGGAAAGTTGTTTTCAAAATGAAAATGTGAGACACATGTACAGTGGCGTGTTTCCTTGTCCCAGCAGGAGTAGCTCTTGGCCTGCTTAGCTACTGAGGTGAGTGTTTTCAGAGCTGCAGGCACAGAAGGATGGTCAATATTTCAGGGAGGGGCACGGACAGAATGTTGGCCCCTCTGGTTGAAGTGTCTCAGCATTTCTACATGAAGGCATCTTTTCAGCTGTGGCACAGCACGCACCATATGTTTAATTCAGCAACAGCCACCAGATTGGAGCATTAGGGGAATAGCAATCAGTCTAGTTTGATCTCCATCTCTTTCTTTTTCGTTCTCTACCCTTGTGTGTTTCTCTTTTTTCCTTTTGGACCTTGTCACTGCTGTTTTTCTTTCCTAAATATCAAAGCTTTTGGGCCTCCAACAGATGTGGTCTACTGCTGTACCAAGACCTTGAGACAAGCCTGAGAGAAAGAATTAGCCATAAACCTGAATCCGTTCTTTGAATGTATAAAAGCAGAGTAGGAGTGGTGTCAGACTGCCAACAAATTTAATTAATTTTGCTTTACTCTGTATGAATATAACGGTATACAAACAGAGTATGGTGACTATTATACCACAGCCTTGGCCTAGAATAGATACATGATGCCCTCTTGATTTCCACACATGCTTTGAGAATGTGTGGAAGGCGATATAACAGTTCATAGACTCTGCCAAGTTCGTACTCTCTCAAAGCTGGAGTGCGAATGAAAGGCAGCTTTTGCGCCGAGCGCAGTCTCACTCTCTCACCCTAACATTTTCCACATGTATCTGTGAAGATTTGTGGCATTATGATGGATCTATTAATTGCTATCGCATCGCTCGTCTTGCACATAGCATGCATTTGTATGCATGCCAGTAAAGATTCAAGTTGCAGCCACCTTTGGAGAACTTGGAACCGGCTGAAATTGTGAATCAATGCCCTCCTTGTTCTTAAAACAAAGTCGTCTGACCAATTGAATATGATTTTGATGAATGTGCTCCAGTCATATTGCCAAGGTTGTGTTTTGTTTTTGCCAAATGATACTTGGACTCATTATGTCACATGCTGATGTCAGTGTTGATGTTGTTTAAGTACAGTAATGGTGGTACGAATGTTGTTTTCCTGCCCCAAACAGACATATGAGCTGGGGTGCACATGCGGCCAAGTTAGCATGGTGGTTACCATGGTGTGCATAATTAGAGCTCCTAGATGGTGTAATGACAAGGGGGGTTCTTGGCTCTCTTTAATCTTCTTCTCTATTTCTATTTATTGTCTTTATCATCATGAACATCATCACACTGTCATAGTCGCGGCGAGATGCAATTTAGCAATCCACAGGGCTTTCCCTGCCACACGTTCAGCGGTCATCCACTTATCCGGCAGTGTTTCTGCTCCTTTCTTGTCTTTCCCTCCACTGTAATCTCTGAACCATCCCTCCTGCTGTCAGGTCACCAGAGATATCTTATGTCTCAGCAAGTTCCTTTAGGCTGTAGGCTTCTCCCTTTACATTTGATCATGCTCCACAGTGGTGTAGTGTGTGGTGAAGGCGCGGTTTACCACATAGCGCTGTGATGTGGGACACTGGTTAAAGTTGGGAGCTGGCTGCTTTGTGCTCAGCTCCATAGGAGTATCTTCTTTTGTACAGGCTCTGATCTGCACCCTGTTTATAATCTCCCCCAGTTTTACATTGCAAACAGAAAGCACGTGCGTGCCGGGACAGCTGGCTCATCAGGCTGTCTGTTGCTGTCATGACCTCACTGAGGCAGTTATTGTCTCTGTGTTTTTAGCTGTCTGATGTGTAGTGATGATGTCTTGTAAATAAGAGGGGTTGCAGTCCAGGTGTGTGTGCATCTTGGGTGGTGGTCCAGAGACAGGTGGTGGAATATATTAGTCATACTGCATGTTGCATCTTGCTACACTCATCTTGTTCTCTTCCTTAAACAGAGCTTGTGATTTATCTTGTGTACCTAATTCTCTTCACGTGTAGAATAAGTGTCACAACCTACTGTGTGATGTTGGCCTGCACCCCTATATTCAGACTTTTATCATCTTCAATTTGTATCTTCTAGGCACAGATTCTGTTGGACTGTGGAGAGGACAACATCTGTGTTCCTGACTTGAAGCTGGCAGTTAGCGGGTGAGTCTTTTTCCTTAGCTGTTGCTAAAAATCCCAGAGCATATAGGTTTTAGAAAATAAAATAAAGTTCAATGGATATTACACAGTGAACCCTGAACAGGATTACAAACACTGAAATTTTCACCTCCGCTATGCAAAAAGAGACCCTAAAGCATAAAAACAGCTGTTATTGTTGTTCTCTACTTTCTGTTTAGTTTAACAAACCACAGTGTGAGTGTTAATAGCTACAATTTTGAAGTACAGTAGGGGCACCATTCGTTAAAAACAAAACAAAGCAGGAAATAGCTCAGCTCCACAGGTGCTGTGACAAACGCTAAAGGGGGAAAGACAGAAAAGATGAAAGGAATCTGTTTGCAAGAGGCCCAACCCTGTCTTCATCGCCATCCCCGCTACACTTTGATTCGAGAAATCTGTTAGCAGTTTTCTCAAAAATAACTGCCTCCCTGATACTCCCTGCTCTGCTCTGTCATTTTGATTTCACATTCCTATATTTATCTACCATCTGACCCCATTTTTCCCAATGTATAACTTATCTATTACATATGGAACAACCTGCTGGGATTCTGCTGCGCCCCATCCGATAGAAACCCAGACGCAGAAAGTGTGATTAGTGCAATTAAAATTATACTTTGTTGATTTTCGTCTGCTCTGCAGTAAATTATGGCAGCCTAGTAGTTGTTGGAGGGGGTGATCAGATGGTCATGATTTAGTGGAATTTCAGAGAAAAATGTATCCAACATTTGTACGATGTTTTTTTTTCTATTCCGCTGCCAAATCACATAACCTGTTAGACCAAGGGTCCCTCAGGGAAGTCTTAGGGTTTTGTGGTGTTTTCTAATTTTGAGGCTTTGTTTGCTTTAAAAAGTGCCATGTCAGTTAAAATCAGGCCCCAGCTGAATCTTTGGCCAGCAGAGGATCGGCTTTATAACTCGTCTCCCTTTTGCTGTCTCTTGCTTTTATGAGAATAGACTTTAATTAAAAGTGCCCTTGTAGCCCTTCTTGTGGAATTTCTCTTTGTGCCTAGCTTTGGAGGAAGGTGTAGGGAGTGAGAAAAAGCAATAATTGGGAGATGCTTTATAATTCTGCGCCTTTTGTATGTCTTTAATATCACATGGGGAAAAAAATTATGTAAAGTGGGCTATTTTGAGATTAATCTAATTGTTGCATTTTTGCAGCCAGGTTCTAAATAAAATCGATCTTATAAGCACAGAGCATGCAGTTATATTAGTTTTATTAGAGCAATTTGCAATTTATTGCCTGTTCCACTGCCAGCAAATGGGAACAAAGAATGCCCTTGTTTACTTGGAAAACAACTTAATCCATGTTTATTTATGGAGGTATTTATCTAGTGACCCAACTAATCATTTGGGGGTTTTCTTTGTTTTGTATTTCTTTTTCCTTGGGTCCTCAGTGACAGGAAGGAAGTCTACCTTGGTGATGACAACTCACTGACCTTGACATTCAATGCCAGGAATGAGGGTGAGGGAGGGGCGTATGAAGCAGACCTGTATGTGGTGCTGCCCCCTGAAGCTGACTACATTGGCATTGCCCGCAATAATGAGGTGAATAGAAACAATCAAACTGACACCCTGATTTTGGGACTATTGGGACTTTAATCTTGATGATTTTCTTTCGATGTGGTTTGACCAGTCTGTCCTCTTTTCCAGACCTTGACCCAGTTGACTTGCAGCTATGAGACGGAGAACCAGACCCGATACCTCAGCTGTGATTTGGGGAACCCAATGAAGTCGGGCACCAATGTAGGAGCAATGTTGTCTTTTGGCTGTCTTTCTCTTTTAGCTCAGTGCTTAAGAAGTTTAAGTGTTGTGACACAAACAAGGTTGTTTGTTTGCTTGTTTTGTTTACATAGGGCATATAAATAGTATCTGAAATTTAATGTATCAGTTATCAGTTCATAGAAACTAAAAAAGGAAGTGATGCGATCTTCATTTTGGGTGTGGACAGCACAGGAAAAGTCAACGTGTGTCAGGAAATGGTGTGGCAGGAAGTACAGGCTACATTTGTTCTATTGGTTCCCTTTTATATTGATTGAGTCACAAGTCAGCATGTTTTTAATAGGTTTGCGGTGCAAGACAGTTGGCTACATGTTAACTCAAAGCGACAAAAAGACTTCTTTATTGTAAATGGATCTGACTGAATGACCCCTTAATAATGTGCAGCACAGGAACAAGAAGTCACATTTTTGTGCTGCAACATGCTCAAGCAGTCAGTCAGTAATTTTAGGTCCTTTCCTTTTCTCTGTTACTTGTAATGAGAAAAAATTCAGAGGATGTTAATATGTCTGAACTTCCTTTCCTTAGCTCTGGGCAGGCCTACGTTTCACAGTGCCGCGGCTGAAGGACACACACAAAACGATTCAGTTCGAGGCGCAAATCCGCAGGTACAATTTCATGTGATCACCAACACAGGAAAAAATAGCAAAAGTGTACACAATATCAACTACTTCTGATTTAATAGTACTGATTTTCACAACTCTCAAATTACATCAGCTAATCAGATCTTCTTTTTTTTTCCATTCTCTGTTTCCACAGCAAAAATGAGAATAATTCCCATAGTGAGGTTGTAGCCTCCAAGCTGGAGGTGATTGTTAAGGCTGATGTCATTCTACAGGGGTGAGCTGAGTGTTAGAATTCCCCCATTCGTGCTTTTGTGACTTCATTAAATCCCTAGTGCCTCCCTACACATACTCTCATACCCCTCCTTCCCATTTTAAGTGTGTCTCGACCAGATAAGGTCTTCTTTCCGCCGGCCAACTGGAAACTGACCAAAAATTACAACGTGGAGGTGGACGTTGGGCCTGCCGTGGAACACATCTATGAGGTAATCGATGTTAGCTGTGCATGCTCAGTGGGGTTGAGCAGATTGGTTTGGAAAGCAGATATTATAGTTTTAAAAAAAAAGAAGGAGGAGGAAGACAGAGGAGGAAAACCAGATCACACGGTGGGATTTGCGCCAGTGCAGATCCATGGATTTGTGGATTAAAAAAAGTACACCAGATATTAATATTTCAACATGGGAAAGAAACTGCTTGGAGAAACAAATGAAAAACTTAAGGGGACTCTTACAGTTTTTTTAATGTTTGATATAGTAAAATGTTTCTTTTTCACTCCTTTTTCCAGCTTGTGAACAATGGCCCTAGTAGGATCAGCCACACCCTACTTGAGCTGCGCTGCCCTTTCCGTGTCCAAGGTCAAACTCTCCTTTACCCTCTGGAGTTCTCCACTGAAGGCCCCATTAACTGCACAGCTGACAAAAACATGAACCACCGAAACCTTAAAGTGAGTGACATTCAGATGAACACCTCTCAGGGTCAAATGAGGCAAAGTCAGAGAGTGAAGATCTCCCATCATTTCCCTGTGTGATTCCCAACGGTTGGCCCACACCCACCTTCTCCACCCTGAATCTCGACTCCACCCAGGACACTTTCCCCACCACTGCTTTGAAGTTCAAACTCTTCCCTATGCTCAGCACAGCTTGATGAACCACCTCACCCAGCAACACACTCATTCATCTACAACACCCCCTCATACTAAGTTGTAACTTGGGGATTTTGTGGGCAAAACATTTTAGTGTGGTTGTTTGTGTTTACATGTGACGTTTGACAGATGTTGAGCAGAGCTGTGAGTGGTCATCTGTCTTAGCTGTGATCTAATGTTTTTCCCACCCCCTAGTGAATTGCTAAGTATGGTGTATTTCCATGGGAATCCATAAGGAGTAGAGCTCACATGCTTCTGATTAATGACAAAAAGCCTCAGGGTCATGCTAACATTAGGTCTTACATTGACAGAAAGGGTGGTGCACTTTTTTTTGCCTAGTGAGGTCAGTATCTGTGTTGTTCTAATGGGTGGCTGGTGTGTTTCTGTTTTCCTTTAGCTCCAGCGCTCATCCACGGAGTCACCTATTCTGGCGCTAAAGGGCCATGAGCATCGCCTCGAGAGGAGGGACGTCCACAAGAATCAGCTTGCTCATTTGACTAACCTGGTAAGGCACTTAGCGGGAAATTGTCACATTCTGTAAGAGCAACATGTTTTATGCATGAATGAACCCTGTCGGACAAAAGGGTGGAGTCTAGCAGTCGGGGACTGATTGTGATAGTGTCTTTAAAGCAAAGGAATGACAAGCTTTAGTTTGTAGTTTGGAGTAAGTATGATGATGGAAGTAAATTCATTTTTGCACCACACATAAACTTATATTTGAAACTATAGATTTGATGCTTTTCTGTGCGACCCTGTTTTGGTGACACTGGCCCTGCTCCTACATGAAGCTCTGGGGACGGGAAATTAGGTTATGATGTCGTTAAAAGGGAGGGGTCAGAGGTTACAGGCTTGTCCCATTGTGGTGATTAACATTAAAGAGCCTTTAGTAGTGGTGGGGAAAAAGGCATGGGAGGCTTTTTGACTGTGATGCACTGCTTAGTTCACAGACTTGTCTCTAATTTTTGGCTCTGGGTGTTATAAGCCTGCTCAGCCCCCACACACTGGTCCTATTGATCCACCCAGCTGTAGGTAGCTGCTCTATCTCCCTCTGTCTGTGGATACCTGCCTCTACCAAAGAAGTCTTTGTCTCTGTGCCCGTCTCTCCGAACTGTGGTCGTTTATCAAGCATGTCCAATGACACTCTAGTATGAAGCAGCCCTTTCTCCTGTTTCTCTTGTGTCTGCACTTTTTCCTTATGCCTGAGAGAATAGACATCTCCATTCAGCACGAGTCTTGATCAGAATGCATTACTGTTTTGTGGTCAGAGAAGGTGAGATGGTGAGAATTGTAGATGACCTGTTTAGTTTTTGAAGGACTGGGATTAACTGCACCAAAACTCAAAAGACTTCCAAATTACTTTGATTTAAAATGGCCTCACTTTCATTGTGTTGTGGGACATGCAACATTCAGTGGCACTGAATGGGGAGCTCTTTGAAGATAATAGTGGTATATCTTATTGTTCTAGCACATGTAATACATTTGAAACCACTTTACAGACTTTTCTGCTTGCTAAAAGCAGGACTTCTTGGTTCAAAGATACCAGACGACTGGGGTGTTTCTGTGCATGTCCTCTTTGTGCTTGTGTGGGCTCTCTCTGGGCACTCCAGCTTCCTCCCACAGTCCAAAGACCTGCATGTTAGGTTAATTGGTGACTCTAAATTGTCCGTAGATGTGAATGCCTGTTTCTCTGTGTTAGCCTTTCAAAGGACTGCAAGCCTGTCCAGGGTGTACCCCGGCTCTCGTCTTATGACAGCTGGGATAGGCTCCAGCCACCTTGCTACCCTGAATTGGACAAGCTGCTAAGAAAATGGAAGGATGGAAAAAATTTGTAGGCTAATAATGGCCGAGCGCTTTACACGTATGTTTAAGGCCTTTAAAACCTCATGGGTTTACCAAGTTGGGATACCTGGCAGATGTTTATCTTTATCAGGGGCTGAACCAAAGTCCTCTTTATTAACAATCTATTAACATACTGACTGTAGACACGTATTAGTCTTAATTCTGTCCTTATTAATGTTGAATGACTGCCATATTTATGAACCAGCAACGGTAACTGTCAGCTTCAAGATTAACTAATTATAAATCTAACATCAAGCATGTCATATATGAAAAAGGGCTTCCACGTATTTGATAGTTCTGTTATGTTTTACCTTACCAAATGCTCTCATTATCTTACTTGAAATATGGCTGCAGTTAACAGTAGTTTTACCTGATCAACACTCTGATTCAAAACCACCTAATTTATTATTAGCACCATTGAAGCGTAATTGTAAAACTTTACAGACCGCTTCCGTACAGTAGCTGTGTTTTCAAGCTCAACTGTCATTTTATTAAGGATCCATGCCTCCATGATCCAGCTCTTGACCACATAATCCTGCCAGTGAAGATATATGTGGGAACTGGGTCTGAGGCATCTTTGGCATTCGACCATGTGCATGTCATTTTCACAAACCTTTGAGGCCCTGCTGCCCTTGGGCATCAAGCATGACTACCGAACGGAAACAGACTGATATGCTCTCTGTCTGTCTGAATAATTATTAAGACTGTCTAAGACTGAGCCTAAAGGAACTAGGCGGGTACCCTCTTCTCCTACTTTTGCCTTTCTCTGTGTAATAAGTAAACTAATGGGTTCCCGCAGGAAACCCGCCGAAACCTCTCAGTCTAGGGGTGGTCTGGCTACAGTACCTTTAGAACAGAGTGTGCACATGTTTTAAAATGTTAAATGTATCAAGCTGCACTATGGGGATCTAATTAAGATTGTGTACTCTACAGTCTTGAGAAAAATGGGCTGGTTTTAGTGGTTGGGCAATAATGTGGCGAGTGGTGCATGCTGCATTTTTACAGTCTCATGACATTCCTTCAATCTAATTCGAAGCAGGCGTGCAATAGGGATCATAACATTGGGTTCTTTGTTATATTTGTATATTTGTTCCACCGGCTTTTATTTATCTGTTCTGCTAGTTTTTAGATTTGCTTTAATAACTTCCACTTGAATTTAGGCTTTGTCATATTATTTAAGTTTAGTGGGAATAAATTTTTTTTCAGATGGTATTCTCGCACAAAATGGCTTGACATGTATTTAACATCGCTAACCGCATCATAATGATGGCATTCTCTCTGTTTGCACAGAACTGCTCTACTGTGGACTGCTGGAAAGTTGAATGCAATGTGGGTCTTCTGCAGAAGGGGACTACAGCTATCCTTAAAATGCGATCCCGTGTCTGGGCTGAGACCTTCACTGAGGTTTGTGGGGGAAGAACCTTGCCATACAAACTCCCCACACACATACTGTACATTTTACATATCTTCCAAACATAAGACAAAATACAGTAATAAATTGATCTTCCCCTACCAGTGGCTGTATATTTTCTCATGTCAGGCTCTGGGAGGAAGTAAGAAGCCATTTTTATTAAAGCGTTATTAAAACAACACTGAGACTCGACCTCAAATGTGCTGCTAGGAAAGGCAAATAGTTGGAGTTGTCAGTAAGACATGTTTGGTTGTGATCAATTTGTACTCAGCAGCAGCTCTGAATCAGTTAACAGTATTACCAGTTACGCATATTTGCCTAAACAAATGAGACAACAGTTGCTTTCTGAGGATGCAGTTTGCTCCACACTGGTGTTCATACTGCAGCTTCTACCAGTGTTTGTCATGTCTAAAATACACAGATTATTTCCCATTTATGTGGTATGTACTGAAAATTTAATATTTGGTTACCACAGCTTCTCATAGGGTAGGAATGCTAAAGGGTGTTAAGCAGGGAGATGCACATGGTCAATGTCGCCACCTAGTGTATAACTAGTATATTATATGCATTTTGAATGTAATTTCTTTTTTCTTCTTCAGAGAGCTTATAAGCAATATGTGCTGGAGTGCCTGGCAGAATACCGTGTGAAGAAGATGCCATATGCAATCCAGCCTAAACTTTTTCCCAGTGGAAACAAAAAGGTATTTAATGTGTTTATTAAGTTATTCAATTTATTAGAACTTGTTCATTTCACACAAATCTATATTTTTAGTACATATTTTTGTATTGTTGTAGTTTGGAAGAAGACATCTTGTCTTGTCATCCTCAGGTGGTGACTCCAGTGGTTTGGAACAAGCCGGATATTGAGAACTCAGTTCCACTGTGGATCATCATCTTGGCTATTCTGGCTGGTTTACTGCTTCTGGCTCTTCTCATATACATCTTATACAGAGTGAGTACTGCTGTGATATAAAAGAATCATAGCATGCTTTTGATCTGAAAGATCAATTAATGGGCTGGTTTTCTGTTCTCATTTATGTTTCCTGCATTTCTGAAATGTTTTTTTTTCTTCTTGCAGTTGGGCTTCTTCAAACGATCTGACCCTTACGGCACTGCCATGGAGAAAGCGGAACTCAAACCGCAGGCTGCCTCTGAGGCCTAAAAGACCACCAAAGCTACCAAAACCACAGTACCTGGCCATATGATTGCAACGGAGAATTGTGGTGGAATATGTAGAGTGGATTTAAAAAAAAGAAAGAAAGACAGAAGCAGTTGAAGAGTTACAAGAAAGAAAGACTACTGGAACTCCACTGTGCTGCACTAGAGGAAGACAAAACTCCAAAGATCTCAAAGCCAAATGAATGTTTTCTTTTTCTATTTTTAATTTATGTCTTTTTTGCTGGCAGGGTTGGACTGTTATCAAATGGAACTTGTGTCAATGCATAAGGCTAACATTGGACTGTACAACAAAAAACGACTGCAGAAGAAATGCAGGCTACCGTCAACCTGCAGATGCAGGAAGATGGGTTTAATTTTATGGATTCTTGGTATGGATCATTTTGTTATTTCCCTGTAACTGCCTTATATTGGTGCTAATGATCTGATATGATTGCTGCCTCTAACAGGATATGGCCACATGTTGCTTGTGGCATCTAGGAGCTGTGAATTATGCTGCCTGCTGAGGCCTGAAAGTATTCTGATATCTCCTAAACACATTTAATTGACAAAAAATAAGAAAACTGTTTATCTGCCTTTAGTAAAGGCAACATTACATCGACAAATATTTAACAACAAAACCTGTTTTAAAGCTCAGATTTCATAGCTAATTGTAATTCAATTCCTTTGCTAAAATTTAAGTAATTTTAAATCCCAACTATTCAGAGGTGCTGATTCTTGCCCAGTGCATGCTGGGATATGCTCCACCACTCCGGAAATTTAAAAAAATGCATAGATGGACATTTCTCACCCGACCATGGAACTGATCTCTCTCTGCCTCAGGTTGGTGGACAGTGCCGGGTTAAGTTGTTTTTGCACTCAAAGGAAATCTACTGATATTATTCCAAAGACACCAAAGACTGACTGACCTTCCTTTGAGTTCTGAATTTGACTCCTACTGATCACTTTGTTTAAATCCTGTATGTTTGAGTCGAGAGTTACCAGTGCTGGCAATGTCATTGTTGTGTAGTCGACTGGGATGGGACTGGAACCACCACAGACCTGTGAAACCTCATGTAAGGCCTGAAGCAGTGTGGTGCTTCTGTCAAAACGCAGTGTTCTCAAGATTTAGTTTTAATGTCATTACTCCTGCTTTGTTTGGATTGGGTTCATTCAAGATGGAAGCCTAAATGAAGCAAATTGTGCTTACGGTGGAGGAAATAAGCATATAATGATATATATATATATTTTAAACTGAAGACATGACAATCAGCAATCCTGTAGCCTCGACAGTAGGCTGAAGGCAGAATGATTCTTTTTCAGCATAAAATGTGTGTTGCTGTGAGATACTGTATTTTTCTATTCTTTTTTTTTCTCTTTTTTTGTGTAAATGCTGCCCATGCTTAAAATGAGAAGTAGCTGAAGCCATCCCACACCCAGAGGCTGCAGGGACGCAACATTAAAATGCCTCGTGTTGGTTTCTTTTGACATATGCATACGTTTAATGTGTCCTTAATGTAAATACTTAGTGCTTGTCAGTTACCGTTCCAGTTGTGTGTGTTTACATGTATACATGCGAGATTTCATGAATACATGCATTTGTGTGGATGGTATATTTATGAATGTTTGTTTTTGCCTTATTACCTTTCCCACTGCCTAGTCCTTTTTATGCCAATCACATCAGTAGCTTGAGATAATTGAGCTTAACCAGTTCTGCGTTACTTTTAAAATTGATAGCATAAATACCTCTAACAAAGGGATGACAGCTAGGCACTGGGAACTACATGTTGTTTGGAAGTGCAATATTTATATTCACTTGTTTTAATATTACAGTGCTTTCTTTTGATTTATGTTTTGTTTGTGATTGATTTGTGATAAATCAGACCTTTACGTGTGAAGGTGATGAACATGTAGCCAAATCCTTTGTTGGTGGTTCACTTGCTTTTTCTCACTAAGCATTATTTCAGGTGTGAAAGTTTTTGTTTTTCAAGGATTTTTCCCACTTCATATGTACTCACCACTGCAGGACCTTTCTGATCTCACTTTTTGTAGCATAGATTTTCATAAAAATACAAGCACATTTCTGGTATGTTGAATTAGTTTGGTGATTTATGTGCTCTGGTGTTGCACCTGTCCAAACAGCATCATACTGACCGTCTGCAATGCATTTGTTTGCTTCATTAAATTCTCTTCATAAATCCCCTTGTAGTTGATAGATACAATTTTCCAGATAGTCCACAAAATTTGCGTTTGGAAAATTATTTTTATCCTAAAATGTAGTCAGTAGACATTTTTTTTTTTTTTTTTTTTAAACGAAACACAGAAAATCATTATTTATAATGATGGGATAATTTTACTTCTTCCTCCTCAGTTACATCAGGAGAAAGCACTGGTTTCTTCATTTTGTTATTTACATGTCTTAGCCAGGACTTTCAAAAAGGTGTTGTAAATATTAATAAGATGGAGAATTGTGAATATCCTCACCCCATATTGGGGAGACCCTTTAATGTCAGGTGGAATGGGGGCTCTTTGAAGGTCAATTTTTACCTGTTACGGTTTGTACTTTAAATAAAATGATTCCTTTTTAAACATGTTTGTACTGTCATTAAATACACATTAGTGGGAAAATAATTTATTTAGAAAATAATATACGAAATTATGCATGTCAGTTAGTGCCAAACATGATCTGATACAATATATTTAATGTGAAAACACTTGTGCGCTGACCTAAAGTGGTTAATTGTGGCACAGGTCTGTGTTCTTATGGCAGTTTTGTGGAAAAAACAATGTGATTCTTCCACAGACAGCAGTATAAAAAAACTTCACAAAATGAATTTTGACACCAAAGACAAGAATACTTCACTGTACATCATGTTGTAACATTTCCTTTTGAAGGGATCACTTGAAATGTTTAGACACCAGTGTGACATAAGGCTTTCTGAATAACCACAAGTCCTGTCAACACAGAGTCAGGGCCACTGGAGCTCATTTCTGTGCACAGAGCCCATTTTGACTGTCAATGTTTTGCTGTGCAGAAAGCTTCTCCAGTAATGTCCAAACTCCTTAAGTAACAATGAATTTCCATGGGATGCTACATCTCCAAAGGTCCAGTTCCCACCTCTAATTGAGATGAGTTTGGAGGTTTTATTCCGTTATACAGAGTAAATTTTTCGGCTGTGATTTTGCTTCAGTTTCACAGTCCTTGCACATTTTCAGTCATATTTCCTAGCAATCGATTGTTCTCGATAGCTGCGTAAGCTTGCGCTGGTTGTCAATCACCTTCAGGTTTTGGATATAGTGCCGGATGTTTGTGGAAGTCCGCAGAGGAAAGGCGTGATCTGAATCTAGAAAAGATTAAAATCATGCCTGAATCTGCATATGTTTAAGTTTTTGTACTTTTGTAGAAACAAGGTTAAACTGAACCTTCTATAGATCTTATGAAGAAAATATTAAAAACTGTCAAATGGCATTAGAGATGTGGCTTACATGTAGACAAGCGAGTAGCAGCGCCTTCCAGAAACATACGATCTGCCAGGCCTCTCTGTGGAGATGAAGGCACTGCAGAGGGAAAATAAAACATTATCTTACCCGATTTATGCACAAAACTGCATTGTATGTGTTTACTCCAACATGCATGTGAATTACTTCCAACTTGTCCTGAATGCATACAGTCTCAAAGGTATGAAGTCAGTGGGCCCGATCATTTTGCTGCCAAACTATCACTTACCATAAGGTTGGCTTCTGCATCCTCGAACGATTTTCACTGTTTTGGCAAGCATTCGCTACGACAAGGTGAGAAAGGAAACTCTTCAAGTCAGTCTATACTGAGGATATGATTTGTAAGGAAACAATTACATAACAACATTTGAAAATAACTTTTCCATACCATTTTCTCAAAATTGACCAGTTTGTCTACGTAGTTTGCGTTTCCCTCATGGATAAACGTCATATCTAGATATAGGAAGGGACAGAAGTAATTAGTATCTTAATAATAAGGACTTGCCAGTGGATTTGCGATTTACTGGTGTCTGTTACCTTTCAGCAGCAGAGGCATGAAGGGAATGTAAGGAGGACTGAGTTTAGCTATAGCCAGTCTGTATGCCCTGTGGTTGCGTGAAGGGTCCTAAAAGAATAAGCGAGCATAGCACAATCAGACCATTAGAAACCTTAAAGAAAATCTATTGTTTAGGACATTTATAAAACTTATTCAAAGCTGAGTACATAGTATAATTTACCATGAGTCTCTCAAGAGAACAGTAAATCCTTTTTGTCTTGCTGGGTATTCTCTGTAACAGACCAGCAAAAGATTGCAAAGTCAATTTTAAAGTATTTGTTTAATAAGTGTGGCAGAACATTTATTATTATCATGCCTGCTGCCTCAAGGGGGCTCTCACCTCCCAGGTCTTGTAAAGCCTCTGAATTGCACTGTTGCTTAAGCCAAACATCACAGCAAAGAATGAATTTAGATTCTTCTGCTCCTTTAATCTGTGATGGAGAGGACACATGACTGTAAATAAAGTGCAGTCCTTGGATGGATAAAGTTTAAGATGGGGGGACAAAAGTAAGTACAAAGGTCCTGCCCGGATACTCACAGTGAAAATACCTGTATGATTACAATATATGATATTAAGCAGGATATTAATGTTTACTGTATCAATTTCTTTTTTTGGTATAAGACCATGCTAATTCTTCTAAATGTATACTATATACAAAAAAAGTATTGGGCCGCACCTCAGTGGATAAAAAATGAGTTGGCCTGGATCTTTTAGTTTCAAAGAATGAAAACCTTAATGCTTCTGCTTACTAAGACATTTTCAATGTCTTAGTAACAATTCAATGGTTCGAATGTTGTGGTAACAGTTTGGTGAAAACCTGTTTCTGTTCCTGCACGACTGTGCTCCACTGCACAAAGCAATGTGCACATATTTCACACATTTCTCTGTGAACCATAAATAATAATGGATTGGATTTATATAGCGCTTTTCAAGGCCACTATTCATTCACTCTCACATTCACACACTGGTGGAGGCAAGCTACAGTTGTAGCCACAGCTGCCCTGGGGCAGACTGACAGAAGCGAGGCTGCCATATCGCACCATCGGCCCCTCTGGCCAACACCAGTAGGCAAGTAGGGTAAAGTGTCTTGCCCAGGGACACAAGGACCAGGACAGAGAGCCCAGGGATCGAACCGGCGACCTTCCGGTTACAGATGCGATTCCCAACCCCCTGAGCCACGGTCGCCCGTGGCCAAATGTTTGCACCAAACCATCTGAGGTTTCAATCAACAAGTCTAAACTATGAGTTGCTTACTGGTAAAGTAGATGCACCTATGGTATGACTCTGAAAGTCGTAGATGACTTCCTTGTTGTGTCATTACATTAAAATGTGACATTGACCTTGAAGCTGACGTCACTGAGATTTAAACTGAGATTTGATTTATAGTAGATGCACCTATGGCATGAATCTCAAAATCCTACATTGCGTCATTCTTGAGTTATCGCAACCATAAACTTGACTGTCCACACCGCCCACCCGGTAAGGTGATGACAACACCCCATCGGCCTTTTAGGGCCGGGAAAAAGGCAAGACATGCGTGAGGTCAGTAGGTTTCACTGTTGAGATGCTTATTTGTTCAGTGGCCAACCTGCTTTGGCTAAATGTATGGTTTATGCAATTAATTCTTACACTGAAGCGATCTTGATAAACTTCTTGAGCAGCATAGCACGTTTCACGAGGTCTTCACATAGGCACAGCTCAGTCAGTACCCAGTGCTGCACCTCATTAAAGCGACGCACAAACCGCTCTAGGTTAGCCGTGATGGCTCCAGGGAATTTGTGGCGCCCAAAAATGTAGTAGACCAGCTCCACCTGGAGAGACACAGACAATGAGTCACAACCACTGGCATAATTTAAACACACCGTGAAACAAGCAGACAGGAAGTCTTTTGCAGGTATCTTTTGTTTCTTTAGAAATGTGAGGCATGCAGGAAATGACCCAAATAATCTGATGGCAGAGATGATACTGGTAGATAAAAGGCGGTAAAGTTTGAGAGTCATGCAAAGTTCTTTGTTGCACGAATGCTACTTTGAGCTTTGGTTATGTATGTCAGTGAGCAAATAAACAGCTATGGGCGTAGTGGCCATGAGATACAAAACACAACTACAAAGGGAAATCCACAACATTTAGAAAATGCAACAAAAACAACAATTCAGAGAAAAACAAAAACAAATGCAGAACACTTCAGAACATGCATAAAGAATGTACAACAGGCAAATACACTGTTGAGAAACAAAAAGGCTTCAAAACCAAAAAGGAAATGCTGTTATAGGTTCCCTCGCCACCAAAACAGTCTTCTCCTTCCTGCATGGTTCTTTCTTCTTTCTCACTCCCGTCAGGCTGTGTTTGCTCAAAGGGGATTACCAGATCATTGTGTATCACTCTCTAATGTTGTAGGGCTTTTATCTTACAATATAAAGTACACAGAAATAGCAATTTTTGTAAAATATGCTATATAAATCAAATTCAATACAATTAAAGTTAATTACTAGTTAATACTCTAGTGTTCTGAAGCAGTTTTGAAGTAGTTGATTGGTAAAATCAAACGAAACATCAATCATAGCCGCCAAGTTACCTCGTGCATGGCAGTGAACAACTCCCAGTCATAATTGGTGAGCTCACTGGCAATGTCTTTAGAAGACATCTGTTCAAGGACGTCAGCGCTTCCTTGCTCTGGACCCTGCTGCTCCTTTAGAGGTGTCTGACAGAGAGAGAGACGGCGCAGTGGCAGAGAGAATGAAAATCATCAGGAACAATGTTGTTCAGGTGAACATTTAATGACTCGCCTTATAGTTGGGGATGCTGCTTTCAACAAAACCATAATATGAAAAACCATAATAAACAACAAACATATTTAGAATATATCCCGTGAGTTAAATCCCCTCCTCATTTTCTATGAAATAGAATAGGATGATATTAATCGTTACTAGTTCATGACCATGCTACAGTACTTTATGGTGAAACTTGGCTGTGAGATGAAAATGACATGAGGCTTTTATTAGGTGTTGCAGGTACATAAATGCAAAATATAGGCTGTTTTAGGTTTGGCTGCTAGGTAGTTGCTATGAAACATAATAATATTGTGTATGATTCAGCTTTTGTGGCTATAAATGAGATGTTACTGTTACAAAATTAAATGATAGGATGTTTTCATAGGTGCTGTACATGCGTAAATGCAGAAAACAGATCCTTTTAGCCTGTTGATAGTTGGTTGCTAGGCAACATCATAATGTCTGCCATAGATAACAACCGGCAGCA